TTATATCTGTAGTTCTCCATTTCAGCTTTAGAAATGATAACACTTGATTCTGTAGAGTTTTTGATACACTTGCAGAAACTTCTTTCAAAGCTGGGTATTGAAGTTGACTTATAACTCATTCTCATTTCAATTTACTTTACACTACTTTCCCTGGTTTTTAATTTCTGAAGAACAAGTCCAAACATTGCTATGAGATGCTTTCAGTCTTTTGCCACACAAAATAAATTTGATTTTAAAACTTTAGTTGCTGCCTGCACAGAAAGTAGATTGGTTCTTGGGGGATTTAAAAAAATAAAGAGTGTGGAAATAGCCAAGATAGTGTGATTTTGAAAAGCACCTACATTTAAGTGAGTTCTAAGTCTCTCTAAAGGTTTCTTAGTAATCTTGTTTATATACTCCCAAATTAGCTTGCAAACAGGATAGTATATTGCATTTAAAAAGGAAACATAACAATCACTACCTGTACCAGCTATCGTATTTCTTGTTCTGATGTGTGAACAATTGTTTTCTTAATGTTCTTTGACATATCTTTACAGGTTCAACTACTATTTCTTCATATTGGTGGTTACCGAGGGTATTGTAGGAGGTGGCAGAACACAAGGGAAGCAGGTTTGGGCTCTGCTCCCCTTGTCTGTTGATCAGGTTCAGAGTGCTCAGTGTCGTGGAGCAGACAGACAGTTCTATTTAAGCTCCTTTTATTTTTGTGTTTCAGTTCAGTTTTTGAGGAGTCTTGGACCAGAGATCCTTTCACACATTATTTAGAGTTTTCTGCCTAACAGCTCATGTATGGGCGCAGACAATGGGTCGATTCTCTGTTACATTAAAGCCTTTGGCTGTGTTGCAGCCATATAAAGGAAACGGAGGAGGCAGAAGTTGTGCCATAAGGCGATTCCATATCCAGGGATATAGGACACACATTTTTCTATTTTAGTTCTAAACAAAAAGACAATAGAATCAAGATTTGGTTCTTTGGTCTTTTTTATTTTACTTTTAAATAGTCACAGTTGAATAGCATAGGACACTTACAGGCTGAATAAGGGAAGTGGCAGATTTGAAAATTGCTTTTAACATAATTTGTAATATACTAATTGCTTATACTTCAGTATTTCTTAATCTGTGTAATACCAATGAATTATGGCTGCTTTCAATGGAGATGAAATACAAAGACTCCCCTCTCTGCTCTAAGGTGTAGGTATGTGGCTACCAATGGCTTCCCACTGCTGAGGAACTCTAGCGATTGTGATGGTGCTAGCTGTGAAGCCATTAGATAATAGGTACAGTATTTTTCCATCTCCTGTATCCATGATGAATTTGAAATTCTTGCAGTTCATACTGGGCTATGGCAAAGGGACATAAAATTTCAGCAGCCCTTTATCACGATGAGCGATGCCTTTTACAATTTTTGGGATAGATGCATCTCTGAAGTAATTAATCGGAGTAAATTCATTCAGATGCATGGTACTTCCTTTCATGAAACCATTAGCAAAGGGCAGAAGATTGAGGTTTCTAATTGCTGATCATGTGCCAGTAGCCAAGTTTTCTGTCTTCTCTCCAGAAAGGTCTTGGGAAATTTGAAAAGGTTTTTTAACCTTTGTAGAAATGGCTTTATATCAAAACCACTTAGAATGCAGATTCACCAATGCTGACCTGTTGGAAAGACAGAAACAGAAGTGACGGGTTATTACTTAACAATTGGTACATCAGCTCTGCTTTATATAGTGCAGAAAGTAGGAGTATCAGTCACATTTGCCTGTCAGACTTCTCCATTTTAATACAGATAATTTTCTTTCGTCTGGTGAAGAAGGATCATATTATTTGGGATCGGTGAAGCACAATAGCATTATTTCAAATACAAGAGATATAGGTTATGGTGTTATCATTCAATTTTGAAAAAATGGAGACTAATAAGATAAAAGGGTGGAGGGAACTACAAGAGGTCATCTGCTCCCTTTCCATTTTTACCTGACTCAAAGAACTTATGTTCCTTCTGAATAATATATAACCCGTTCTTCAAATATCTCCTAGGCTAGACTGTCTGTTTTCTTTTGCCCCAGAAAACCTATTCCAGCAATTCTCTATCATTATTTTTACTATAAAGATTGCCTTAATGACAAACAAATCTTCCTTGTTGCATTACCACAGGCCCTGTCCATGAATATGGAAAATAATCTAGTCTTCCTCATTTTTGAAGACTTTTATGCATATGAAAATGGTATTAATCTTTCCCCATAATCTTTTCTAGGCTAAACAATCCCAGTTCTGTCAGTCATTCTTCACAGATCTTATTTTTTAATTTATTTTCTGTTTTTTTTCTCCTCATCTTTTTTTATTTCTTTTCACTTGAGAAAGTTTTTCTTGACAGTATAGTTCTCTCAAACATCAGACATAGTCCATTAGCTGAGACCTTGCTACTGCTCAGCAGGATTACCCGACATCACGCAGGTGCTACTCATCTTTATACAATTTGCTGTGAGAGTCTTCTTTTGTGGGTTTGGTTTTGTTTTTAACAACAGCAGTGTGCAATTACTGATTTATGTTCCACATCTACTCTAGACCCCAAGTGCTTTTCTGAGAGCAGCTTTTCCTATTGAATCTTTTCTGTCCTGTGTTTGTAGGATTAGTTGTTCCTGCAGGAAGAGAAGCACTGTGAATTCAACTTGATGGCATCCCTTTTTTTCAACCTATTCTCCAACATTGGATTTTAATCCTCTCCTCTAGTGTTGTCGTGGCGCAGGCTGGGAGCTGAGCTGCGGCCGTGGCTGGGGGGGGGGG